GAAGGCGATGACGATGAGCGGAATGCGCAGCTTGCTCCTGAACTTCATCCTCTGTTCACGTTGAGGCCCAATCGGGGTTAGCGGGTTGTTCTCCTCACGTTATTGGGAAAGTGGCGAGTAGGAGGAAGAAGAAGGAGGAAACACAACGTACGTGGAAGCAGTGGAAGGACCAGAGGAAGAGGATGAAGGCCTCGAGCGCCGTGAAGGCGATGGCCAAGATGAGGGCCGCGAAGATGCAGTACCACATGCTCCGGAACTGGTCGGCAAACGGCTTGAAGCAGTCCTCGAAGTAGGAACACTCGACGTCCAGCTTCTCCAGCTTTACCTTCGTGGGGTACTCCGTGAACGTCTCCTCAAACGAATACCTATCGATTTATGATTGATTGATGGATTAATTATTATTTTTGGGTAAAATAAATTCGTATGAGGATTGGAGGGAAATGGGAAATGGGAAATGGGGAAGATGAGAGATTCTTCTTTACCAAGGACTGGGCATGGCGGCGACGAGAAGGCACAGGGCGAAAACGACCGCGCAAAGGAGGATGAGAAACCTCCACTTCATCTTGACTTATGCTTGATTTTGATTGAGGAGGTAGCTAACGATCGTTCTGCGCGTTGCCGTTGTTCTATGCGGTTGTGGCTGGCGAACTTCTCATGAAAAGTAGCAACCATCCTGTTGGGGCAACACTCTTCACTGTTGCAATTGGGCAATTTATTAATTATTTTTAATGGCAGCGAAGCGATTGGCCCGCACCTCAGGAAGAGAGAGGGACCTCACAGTTTGGCGGTGGAGCGGGACTGGCTGCGCTTCTCGAGCTCGACTCGTAGCAGCTCACGGCGGAGGATCTTGCCGCTGGGCGACTTGGGCACCACAGCGATGAACTCGATCTCCTTGGGTCGCTTGTAGGACGTCAGCTTGCTGTGCATGAACGCGTTGATGTCCGCCTTGGTCACGTGCTCATGGCCCTGTGCCACACACCATGACATTAGTGGTTGAGCCAATAACAGTAATAATGAAATAAGAAATGAAAAGGGTGGCGGAAGCCCGACCTTCTTCAAGACGACGAAGGCCTTGGGAATCTCGCCGGCCTCGACGTCAGGAACGCCGATCACGGCCGCATCAGCGACGGCGGGGTGCGAGAGGAGGGCCGCCTCGAGTTCGGCCGGTGCCACTTGCAGACCCTTGAACTTGATCAGCTCCTTGACCCTGCGCAGGCAGGCATACAACAAGCCACCGCTGTGAGCTGATGCCAAAAGGGAGTGATGCACACAGGCACGTACCTGTCGACAATGTAGAAGTAGGAGTCATCATCGGCATAGCCGATGTCGCCAGTCTTCAGCCAGCCGTCTTCGGTGATCATGTCCTTGGTGGCCGCCTCGTTGTTGTAGTACCCCTTCATGATCTGAGGTCCGCGCATCCAGATCTCACCACGCTTGTGCGGCCCGACCGACTCGCCTAGAACCCCGCCCAAACCAACGAGATTTTGTTGTGAATAGGCGCTCAACATGGCCAGGGTCTAGTCAATCTCTTCCCCGAGGAGAGCGAGGGAGTACCAGTGGCAGTGTCAACCAGCCGAAGCTCGGTGTTGCTGAGGAGAGGTCCGATTGAGGCGGGCTGCGCAGCGTGTGGGTGATCCAGGGTGAGTAAGTTTTGAGGAGCACAAGCAAATAAGTGGAGTAGTTGTGGGGGTGGTACCTTGATGGTCTTGGGGTCGTCAGGGGTGACGTGCGTGGTGGGGCTGGTCTCGGTGAGACCGTAGCCCTGCTTGACGATCACGTTGAGCTTCGCCTGGCATTCGGCCTGCAGCTCCGGCCCCAAGGGGGCAGCGCCAGAGTTGATGACCCGCAGCTTGGATAGGTCGTACTGGGCAACGAGCGGGTCCTTGGTCAGCTGGAGAATGATGGGCGGCACCAGGTAGGCCCTCGTAACTCCATAGTCTGAAACGCAAAACACCAACCGTGAGTGAGAGATGTCGTATCGCGTAATTCGGGAGAAGCGCAGCGTACGTTGGCACACATGAAGGAAGTCCTTCAGTTGGTACTTGGGCATGGTGATCAGCGTGACGCCGTGGTAGAGACCGCAGTTCATGATGCACTGCATGCCGTAGATATGGTACATGGGCAGCACAGCGACAAGCACGGCCGACGTGTGAAGCGCGCCCTCGGCGGCCACGCTCTGCAGGACGTTGGCCGTCAGGTTGCGATGGGTGAGCATGACTCCCTTGGGGAGACCCGTGGTGCCAGACGAGTACGGCAGAGCAGCCACGTCGTTCTCCGGGTCGATCACCACCTGCGCGAATTCCGATGCCGTGAGTTGCTGCCACCGTGCTTACCACACATAAGTCTCGGTAGACTTGACGATGGGATTACCTGGTGGAGCCTCTGAAGGTCCTCCTCGGTGGGCGGCTGCATAGTCTCACGGAAGGGGATAGTGCCGGCCACGTCGGTCTGCTTCGTAGAGAACAAGATGATGGGCCTGCCCTCGGCCGCCTTCTTGACCTTTTCTGCACGTGGGCGATCATGGTTGAGAGGCGACTCTTCAACACATTGGACAAGTGGCACACCATGCGCAGGCGGTACGAACCCAAGTCCTCCTCAATGGTGAAGATGATCGAGGCGTTGGAGTGCGTCAGCTGCTTCTGCATCTCCTCCGCCGTGTAGTGCGGGTTGACCGTCGTCAGCGTGCCGCCGGTAGAAACAACTCCCTGCCAAACACACCAAGCGTAAGCACCTTTCAAATAAAATAAAAATTATAAATAGAAACTATGACAGGAAAATAGGCTATTATTATTAAAAAATAGAAATAAAATACTACAATTATTAAAAATTGGCGAGATATTGGAGGGGTCGGCGTACGTGGAAGACAATGGCGTACTCGGGGAGGTTGTAGGAAATGAGGGCGAGGGTTTGGCCCTTGCCGAAGCCTCGGCGCAGCAGCCACGCGCCGAAGGCCTCAATACCGGACCGCAGGGCGCCGTAGGTCAAGGTGCGGCCGGTGACCGAGTCCACCAGGGCCGGCTTGGCCTGGTCGTGCTGCGCCATACGGTCCAGCAGGAACTTGTGGTAGGGCACATTGGGCAGCTGTACTGTCGGATACGGGCTCCGGTAGATGTGTACGTTCTTGTCCATAGTTCGCGGGGCTGAACAACAGCGGTATCGGGGCACAGTTGGCGAGTGACTCTCTTCGTAGCGAGAAAGAAAAAGACTCGGCCAACAAGCAGCAACTGAAGCGCACCAAGTAACTCTCCGAAAAAGTAGTTTCCCGCCAGTAGGAACCTTGTTGCGGAGCTTTATGGACGAGTTGAAACATTTACGGAAATTTGGGGAACTTTATTGAGGTGCGCAAAAGTTGCAGCTTGCTTTTCTTTGAGGTTTTCTTTTGGAGAACCAACACACCGAGTCAAATCGACAAGAAGAGACTTAATCGAAGAGCAATCATGGCAGAGGTAGCTTGCCTTCATGGATCTCCGTTTGTTTTTTGCTCATCTCCTAATTTCAATCAATAGGCGAGATTGGGCGCAGACGAGGTAAACTCGATAATGAAGGAGGTTCGACATGCTCCATCCCCTCTCGCGATTTTTAATTATTAATTTGATAGCGTGCATTGTAGGCCACCGAGGAGACGCTTGCTGGTCACCAGTTCGTCTACGCCGACATCTCTAAGTGGACAAAGGAGATCATGGACACTTGCATCAGAAACCTCAGTGCACTCAAGAAGCCCTACAAGTTCATTGGTACCTTCGTCTTGCTGTTCTTTGCTTCCCGCGTCACTGCGACGCCATTCGGCACTCCTTGTTGCGTGCAGAGGACCTCCTCGGTCGAGCCGAGTGTCTTCTCTCTTTGCTTTCTTGTCAAGGCTCACCTTGTCGTGCTTCCCCCTTACCATTCTGGCGTTGGTGCTGCCGCAGTCACATGCGTAATCATGCAGAAGAAGGGTGCCGGCTTCCATGAGGCCAGCTCGTGCTACTGGGACAGCGCAAACGATCGTACTTCTCTCTTTCCTCCTTGCTCTTGTGCCGTTGTTGACGTTGCTCACGGGCGCGCTCCACTCGTTGCTCCGTGTAGTGAGCTATTCGTACCGTTGGGAGAACAAATCAATGCACTGCATCACGTCCGTGTTCGCCATCAGCCTCTACGCTGGCAACCCCGCACCCGCGAACTGAGTGAGGTGCATTTTATTTTGTTATTGTTATTATTTATTAGTGCCTTACATTTTGTTTTATCGTTACGGCAGGAATTATTTGAAGATCGTACGGAGAAAAGGACAAGGCGTGTTTGTAAAGTCGGTCGTAACCATTTATTTTATTTAACAGTTTATTTTATTATCTTTCCTTCCTTTCTTCCCTCCTCCCTCCCTTCACCGAGCTTGTTGCATGTCGTTCCTTAGGATGCCCTCGCACATGTGCGTTACCTTCCTGGCGCTCACACCCGGTGTCCCGCTTACCATTCTGGCGTTGATGCTCGCTTTGATCTGGCGTTGCGCTACAGTGCAGGGCTGGTCCACAAAGCCCACTTCGCGCTCGCCTACCTTCCTCGGCCCAGCGCGTGGCCCTGCCCTCTACAGCGCTCTCCCCATGGCGCTCTCCCCATGCCATGGCGATCAGCTGCGAGTCAACAGGTTTGGCCCCGGCCAATGGTTTGATTTCTCTTCTCTCGGAAATCAAAGGCCAGGTCCTAATTTGGGTCACTCCTTTTTTGGCAACCCCGCGAATTGCGCCTGTATGGGCGGTCTTTTCTTTTCTTTTCGTTGAGTGAGCGAGCTAGGCGAGAGAGTGCTGTGTGTACGTCTCGACTACCTGCTTGTGGGTCCTTCCATCTTCGAGACTCTCGACCAGAGCTCTACTACATCTCTCTTTGGAAAGCTCTTCGGCATCAGCCCGCTCGCCTCACTTCACATCCGCCTTTTTTCTCCTCTCCACTACTTCACCATCATCCACATCACTTACCTATTTTTATCATTTATTTTGCCCTCTCTTTTGAACGCACTCGTTACCTTCTCCCTCCCGCCACTCCTAATCGAGCAGACCTCGTCCCGTTCGCGAACAAGAACCTCAAGACGACGACTCGTCCTGCTCCTCGGCCCTGAGGCCTTCATCACTTACCACACAGCCCTTTCCTCGATTCGACCTACCCACAAGATGAGTCTCCTCTCACCCTCGGAAGCCACTTTCTTCGGCTTCGAGGACCACACGATGGACATCAGCGAGTTCTTCGCCGGCTCGGACGACCTGCTCTCGGAGGGGTTCGGTATGGAGACCCACTCGCTCCTGCCCTCACCGCCCGAGATCCGACGTAGCGGCGGCAGCCAGGTTGCATCGGCATCGTCGTCCACGACCTGTCCGACCAGCCTCTTCTACCACCAGCCGTTGGTGGGCGACGAGGAGAGCGGACCCGAGAGCGAGGACCAACAGACGCCGTGCTCATCTGCCTCTTCTTCTTCTTCGTCATCGTCGCAAGGCGCAACCGAGACCAGCGCGAATGATGAAGGGTGGACCAAGGAGGACACGCTGCGGCTGACCGACCTGGTCAAGTTCTACGGCCACAACTGGCAGGAGATTGCCAAGTCCTTCGAGGGCAATACTCACAGCTCCGAGGTACTCCCCTTCTCCTTCATCTTCGTTCTCTTCACAACTTGAGACTGGTGTTGAGGTGGCGGATGTGACCACAATACAACAGGATTGCCAGCAACAGTACCAGATCTTGATCGACTACGTGACGAAGCAGAACCAACTTCAGCTTCTCGAGACGGCCGACGAGTCTGACCCGTCGGGCTCGCCGTCGCCCGCGTGCGAGTTCTTATTCTCGAGCCCCGGCGACAGCAGCATTGACCCGTTCATCATGCAGGCTCTCGGAGAGAACGAGATCGTGATGGAAATGGGCAACCTGGGCGACTACACCCCCGTCTCCGGCCTGAATCATCACCACCACCACCACTCGCACCACCACCTTCATCACCACAGCCACCTCTCGCGCCCGCACCAGCACATCGACATGGCCTCGGTGAACAGCATGAACGCCGCGAGCCTGCTCGAGATGAACCCGCTCAGCGCCCTCAGCGGTATGGGCATCACGATGGAGTCCTATGGCCTCCGCCAGCAGCCCGTCCGCCGGTTCACCATGGTGCCCTCCGCGTCGATGAGCGTCATCCACCCGCCGACCAAGTCCCGCAAGACGTCCTCTGGGTCTGGCACCAAGGCCTCGTCCAAGAATTCGAAGAAGGCGGACAAGGCCAAGAAGAAGGCCCTGCGCCGCGCCGAGAAGGAGAAGCGGAAGGAGCAGCGACGACGCAAGCGCGAGAAGAAGCAGAAGCTCAATGAGAAAAAGCGGGCGGAGAAGGAGGGCCAGCAGCAGCTCGGAGAGGCCGTCGTCGAGAAGGAGCCCAGCGTCGGCAAGAAGCGAGAGCGGGACGAGTCCCACAAGCCGCACCCGGCCAAGGAGTTCCACAAGCAGCCACGGCTCGAGTCGTCGAGCAAATCGGGAACCAAGCCTAAAGAGTCAAAGGGCACGCCGAAGAAGAGCAAGTCGAGCATCAAGGTCAAGCCCGAGCCCATCGACGCGACCGAGGGTGCGCCCACGGCCGCCTTCATCAGCGCGGGGCCTGCGCCGACCTCGGCCTTTCTTGCCTCCCCAACCCCTACCTCCACCGCGGCCCCTACGGCCCCGGCTTCCACTCCTATCCCCAGCAATATCAGCGCCGCTGCTAAGATGGCCGCCTCGCTCGGACCGTCGATGTTGTCGCTGGCCAGCGCCGTCCAGTTCCAGCAGCGCACAAACTACGGCCAGCCAATGCTGACGCAACAGCGCATGCACTATCCAATGATCATGCCCCGCCTCCAGCCGCCGTCGGTCCTTCCTCCCGCGGTGCAGGGTCTCTTGCCCCCGCCCGTCTCCGCCACGGCTGCCGCGGCGGCTGTGGTAGCGGCCACGGCCTCGATGTGCGGCGTCATCCTCCCCAACCCGCCCTCTACCAGCCGCACCAACTCGCCGACTCCGCCGCTCTCATCCGCCTCCTCGCCCTCATTGTTCCGTGTTCAGTCATCGGGAGCGGCGACAGCGCCCAACACCAGCCCCAGAGGCTCGAGCCCCGCCAGCGCCTTGGTTGGTGCCAGCGCCGCCGTCGCCGGTGAGCACTCGCTTGCCCCATCGACGACCGCGCCTGTGTCGGTCGGCGCGCCCTCTGCCGCTGATGGTACCGCCTCTGGAGCACCTGTCCCCCCAGAAGCTTCCCCGATGCTCGATTTAGCCCCGGGCCGCGCATCGCCCACCACAACCCCCGTACGTTCATTCCCTTCTTCCTGCTCTCGTGCACAGTCTTACTCACGCGTACGATGGGCTTCGTGGTACCCAACTGGCGCAACGCAGCCCCACACGCCCACCGCATCAACACCGGCCAGTGCGACGGTCCCGGCATCGCCCGCCTCGGCCTCGGCTGTGGGCGACGCCGCCAATGTCAAGCGGAAGCAGCCTGAGGACACTGAGTCCCAGGAGGAGGCTGACAAGATTGCCGCCGCGGTCGCCGCCTGCCTGGCCGGCCCGGCCAAGAAGCGCAAGCGCAGGACCGCGGCCGAGATCGAGCGCAAGTACAAGTGCGAGATGCCCAACTGCACCAAGTCCTACGGCAGCGAGGGCGCACTCAAGATGCACGTCAAGCTCAAGCACCCGGGGGTCAAGCAGCCGGCGCTGAAGACTCCCACAGGGGTGGCGCCGCGTATCAACACTCCGTCATCGCTGCCGCTGCTCCTCCAGTTCCCGCTGCCGTTCATGCCGGGTCTCATGGGGGGCTCGCAGCCCATCTTCCCCGCCCCGTCCCCGGCGGCCCTTGCGGCAGCCAACTCAGCCCTGGTCTCGGCCATGAACGCCTCGGCGGCGTCCGTCCCATCGCCTGTTCCTCGCCCACAAGCGCAGGCCACCTCGCCGCCGACCCCATCTCCGGCCACGCCCACGGCCGCGACCATCGCCCCTGCTGCCGGGTCGGCACCAGCGCCTTCATTCCTTGCGACGCCGTCGGTGTCGTCATCTTCACCATTGCCGTCGTCGACCAGTTCCTCGAGCTCGAGCTCGATGTTGTCGTCGCCATCCCCGGCAGTGCCCCGAGTGTCCGCCGCCTCGCTCATCCACAAGCTCAGTGCGTTCCTGGCGTCCTCGCCCTCGCCGGCGTCGGCCTTCAGCTCGTTCTCCGTGCACGGAGCCCCGATGACCTCACCCTTTGCGCGCTCGACGCCCACGTCTTCGCTGCCGACACCCACCCGCGCGGCATCCGCCACAACAACGCCGGCGCTTGCGCTCCCCAGCGCGCCGGCGGCCGCGGCTTCCTCCGACTCGGTCCTGGTGGTCCCTTCACTGGTGTTCCCGACCGTGCTGTCCGACCTCAAACTACCTTCATCGCCCGCGGCGGCCCCGCTCCTCTTTGAGGCCGTCGCAACGCTGCCCACGGCCGCGGCACCTACCGCCGCCACTGCCCCCGGCGGTGACCAGCAGCTGGCTCTGTTGCCGTGCAAGCTGGAGATCATCGAGGCCTCCGATAGTTGTGGTGGGTTCGACAGCGCGTACTCGAGTCCGAGGCTGGCCAGCGACGACATCTCGTCGTCTACTTCGCCGTCATCGCCGTCAGGTTCGCCCTCGCCCATGTCGCCGCCGGTGTCGGCCGCCGACCTGCTCGTGGACACGCTGGGCGAGGGCGTGCTCTCTCTGCCCTCGGCTACGCTCATGGACGAGGAGTCGGCCACGACCGCCCCCGACCCCGGCGCCACGGCTATCGCCTCCGACGACCTCCACACGATGCTATCGATCAGCGAGGCCAACCTGGGCGACGTACGGGGCGCTGTGGGCAACAGCAATAACAACGGCAACGGCAAAGGCGGTGCCAGCAGCGACTCAGTTGGCGCTGGTGGCTCGGTTCAGCCGCCGTTCGACCTGCCCTCGTCCTTCTTCAACCCGCTGAGCTTCGCGGGCGACGAGCTGGAGCATATGCGCCCACCAGCCGAGCGCGAGGCCGCACCTGCGCCCGAATCGAACCAACCCTCGCTGCAGTCATTGACCGTCGCCCCGTCGTTCGGCGGTGGCGTCTACGACGACGACGATGTGCGACTGCAGCGTGCGCTGGACGGTCAAGGGCAGAACGAGGACCACCTGCTGGACGAACCGCCCTTCCACACGGGCGCGTTCCTCGTGAACGGTTGCAGCGACGACCTCTCACAGTCCCGGCTCAGCTTCTCGCAGCACACGATCGACTCCCTCTGAAGACCCACTTTCCTTCACTCTACTCTTTCACTCTCTTCCCCATCATCTTCTCTTTCTTTCCCTCCTCTACGTCGTTCCTGCACATCTTCACCTCTTCACCTTCTGGTCTTCTTCTTGACTTCTCTACGCGCGCGGGAAGGAAGACGAGCTCTCGACAAAACGTCGAGCCCCCTGGGACAACGACTGCCGGTCTGGTCGTTCGACTCACGGGCAACACCCCCAACTTCCCCGCCAGCTTCGCATCATCATCATCACTCCTTCATCTACGCGGCTCACCCCTCGAACTGTCGACGCGCGCTTCTTCGCGACATGAAGATCACCAACACAGACCCCCTCAGAGGACGACATTCGAGCGGCCGTCATCATCATCACCACCCTTCTCCTCCTTCTCCTTCTAGCGTGAGACGTTCGCCAGCACGGTGCGACAAGTCGAAGGCCTAATCTACGATCGGCCTCTCAACTACGCGACGTCATCACCCACATCTTCTTCCACTACTTCTGCAACGCAGGGACGCATCTCTCGCGAAGCGCGAAGGCCATCACCAGAACAGACTGCACTACGTACACTTGTGAATACTACTCCTCCCCCCTCTCTTCCGCTATTCCTTCCCGCATCAACGCGATCGAATACGCCCCTGCACATACGGCCTTCTTCATCACCACCACCAAGCATCTCCCCCCCCCCTCATGTGAATAACTTGAGTATAGCCCAATACATTCCTTCACACAACTTCGCGCCAGTCGTGTGAGTACTGGTGGCGGGAACGGGGCAATATTGTATTTACATGAGAGAGGTTCATCGTTGTGGTGTTGGGGGAGACTTGGCCCTCTGACTGCGTCGCTTGGCCTGCAGTCGCGCTTCCCACCGCGCAAGCAGCGTTCGCACCTGCGCCAGGCTCAGGGGCTGCACTCACCGCGGGAGTGAGTTCTAATATTATATAAATAAGAAAAATGCAATAGTCAAATGAACGCACCTTGGCGAGGAAGTCGTCCATCACCTGGAGGTACCGGTCGCGGTCCTCCTTCATGGCGCTCGCCGTCATCGCGATGATCACGGGCTGCTGCTTCTGGGGCAGCATCTCGCGGATCTTCAGCGAACACTCCATCCTGATCAAGTCGAGTGGTTGGGCATCATCACCACTCATTATTATCAGCCTCAGCTCCGCGAGAAGAAGACGACGAAGAAGAAGAGGGTACCCGTCCATGAGGGGCATCATGATGTCCATGAGTACGATGTCGAAGGCCTCCTGGTTGAGGGCCTCGAGGGCCTCCACTCCGTTGGTCACCGTCCGCACGTGCCGATAGTTGAGCTTCTCCAGGATCCGCAGCATCAGCTTCGTGTTGATCCCGTTGTCGTCCGCCATCAGCACCCGCAGCTCGTAATCATCATCGTAGCCTTCACCCTCGACTCCTTCTTCCTCTTTCTCGTCTTCGTTCTTTTCTCTTTCGCTTTCGCTTTTCTCTTCGTTCTTTTTTTCTTCGCGCGGTGACGTCGCGACACTGTCGCTGTCATCGACAACGACCGTCGTCACGACGCCGCCTCTTCTTCGCTCTTTTGACTGCTTCCGCATGTCCCGCCAGCCCTGCTCCTCCGCCAGCTTGAGCGTGACCCCCGTCGCCCGCGGGCTCACACCCGCGCCCGGGCTGGTCGTGGTCGTAGTGGTGTCGCCGCGGCGGCTGCGCTCGAGCTTGGCGCGCTTGTAGGTCGATACGGCCTCCTCGCGCTCGGCATAGGTGAGGTCCTGCTCGGCTGGCGCGAACGAGCTCCGCGCGAGCGACCTCAAGTCCGGCGCGACCGACGACACCGGCGACAGCTTCTTGCGTCGGCCGCCGGCGATGACGTCCATCACCGGCCACTCGGTGCACAGCGTCTCGGCCTTCTCCTGCTTGGCCTCGTGTCGTCGGGCCTCCACCTCGTGTTGGTCCGCCACGCGCGCCTTGATCGTGAACCGCACCGCCGTCCCCTTGTTCTCTTGACTCTTAATCTCCACCTCGCCTGTCAACACACATCGTGTGCGTGTCGTGTCGTGTAGCCGTAAGAATGGTGTGTGTTGTCGCGTGTGCGGCCGCGTGTGTGCGTGTGCGTGTGCGTGTGCGTGTGCGTGTGTACCGCCAAAGAGTTCGACGAGCTGTTTGCATATGGCGAGCCCGAGGCCGGTGCCGCCGAACCGCCGGGAGATGGAGGTGTCGGCCTGCACGAACGGTTCGTCGATCCGATCGAGCATGTGCCGCGGGATGCCGATGCCCGTGTCGCGCACCGTGATGCTCAGCGTCGCCACCTCCTCCGCCAGCTTGTGGGCGACCACCGCCTGGTCCACCTCGTCCAGCACCTCATCATCGTCGTCACCACCACTTGCGCCGACGACGGTGGGCGGCCGCGGCAATGACCGGCCGCCGGTCGTGGGCAGCGCTGCGGGCGAGTGCGGGGAGGCCGGCTGGGGCGACGGTGAGGGCGACCGGACGCGCTCTGTGAGTCTGGCCCTGGGCCGGTCGACGAGGTTGGTCTGGATGTCGACCAGCCGGATGTCGATGTCGATCGCGCCGCCGTTCGTGAACTTGACCGAATTGCCGACCTGGGCGAACCACCACCACACGAACGAACGTCACCTCCAACGACATGGCTGCGTGTGCGGTTGTGTGTGTGTGTGTGTGTGTGGCGAGTGCGGTGTGCGTGTGCGTACCAGATTGCACAGGATTTGTCGTAGCCGAGTGGCGTCGGTGATGACGTACTTGGGCACGGCGGGGTCGATGCAAACACTAGCGCGAGCGAGAGAGAGAGAGAGAGAGAATTAGAACGAGGTGGTTGGTCCAGACCAGACAATGGAGTGAGATGGATAGTCAAGGGCAGTACTTGATGATGTTGTGGTGGTTGCTGGCCTCGCGCGAGAACAGGTTCACCACGTCTTTGACCACTTCGCGCACTTCGCTGCATCGCATTTCGAGTTTGAGCTTCCCGACATCCACCTGGGCAGGACACGCGCGCGCCGAGTGAGCTACACACCTCCACTACACACACACACGACACACACGACACACACACGACACACACACGACACACACGACATACACACGACACACACACGACACACACACGACACACACCTGACAACACGACAAGGAGCACGCACCCGTGAATAGTCGAGGATATCCTCGATGATCCGGAGGAGCGTGGCTCCGCTCTTGTTGATGGTCTGCACGTAGTCCCTCTGCTCTCGGTCGAGCCGGGTCTGGAGCAGCAGGCTTGTCATTCCGATCACCCCGTTCAATGGCGTACGATCTCGTGACTAATGC